TTCCCGTGATTCTCCTCAGTCTTTCGTTATTTATAACTTTGAACATAACCTCTCTCAGAAAGCACAACATAAAAATAACCCGTCGGGAACAGCCAATAGATATATTTCATTGGCAGCATATTCAGTAATGATTTTCTCACACAGTAAATGTCACTGATTTTATACACATGTAGACCAATACACATAATCATCCAGATGCGATCTTGCTATTCAACCAACTTTCTTCTCAGAGATAAAAACTACAGACAAGGACCATTTGGCCTCACAAAACTTATGCAACCAATAATGCGTGTAGTTCAGTTGAGTGATTCCTCCTTAGATGGGCGTTCACAACGATCCCAGTGAGCAAACGTGGAATGACTGTTTACGCTCTAAAAACTACCTAGTTTGCAGCATGGCATCGTATAGGTTTTTTGACATTTTATAGGTTTTTTACATGATACCGGCTGTAAGTTCTGTTCTCATATTTGTTGTGCTGGTGCTTAAACTCGACTGTCCATACTTGATGATCCTCAAACGAGGACTGTCCATCAGTTTGGCCATACTTCCGTTACAGTAAAGTAATATACCACCGAACTTTAGCCCTCTAAGCTCTCCTTCATCATACTGTCACACTCAAAATCTGCCAGATCGAGTCGCCAGGCTTCTGCTTCTCGATCTGTCTTTGCCGAATACTTGTGATTATTATTTTACAGCTGCCTGTCTGCCTTTCTGGGAAGACATGTGATTATAACGCTAGAAAAGAACTTATACTGTGTCCTAATGGTAGACACCACGTACTGTGTGTTCATCGTTTTGGTACATATGAATTCCGGTGCGTCCTATAAGGATGAAGAGAGAATTGAGAAGGACCGTAAATCAAAGTGGAAATACAATTTTAAGTGAGCGCACGACTGGCGAGGATATCGTGTAATAGAAAGCAGCCAACGGGAAATGTACACACGGAAAGAAATTATCCCTGAAGCCATGGTCGCGTAGGGCAGACGGAGGTGAAACATTACTTTCCTTACTTTAGCAAATGTTGCTGTCTTGCTGTCATTTTGCACTTTTCTGGCTTTTTAAAAATCACAACAACAGGGATGGGAAGAAAACTAGAATCATAGAATATAAGCCTAGCACAGATAGAAACTATCCCTAAAGCCGTGGGCGTTGATCGGACAGACTGTAGCACTGGAACTATAAAACTATCTGAGTTCGCTTCGACAGCCGAGTCATCACTATGGCCGTGTGATGCCGTCGATTTTGGTGATACAGTAGATATTAGTCTACTAGACGTTATACCTCTAATAGACGATGCTTATTTTGTTCGTTGCGGATGATTTCCAATAAGCATGAAACAGCAGTATACACGGTTAGCCTTCTGTTGCTCAGACCGGCGATAGCAGTGTTGATATTAGGAACGTATCATCAGAATTAGAGGCTTGATGTGGTGATAGTGATGAATGATCTGTTAACGCGAACTAAGATACCTTTACAGTTCCAATAGACCACTTTGTTCTGTCTCGTAGTGAGCGATTCTCTTAATAGATGGCACTTTTACTGTCGTATTTTGACGTACCTCATACCCTCTGCTTTCGTTCGTGCCTTACCTACCATTGACCTAGGCAGTACTGATGATTGCCAATAAGCATGGAACAGCGGTACACATGGTCTGGTCAGTTCATTAGCTCCCCAGAGAAGAGTGTTCGAGGTCATGAAGGATCTCGGTTTTGTACAGAATAGGTTAAAGAAAGATTTTCTCTAGCTTTAAACACCCAGTCGTTTCCCAAAAGCCGTCTTCATTATCAACAAATTAATGTTTATTCGATATTTAACCGATTATCTTCTTGTCAAAACTCAGCCAACCATCAAAACCAAACGAGAATTCGTAATGAACTGCCCATGCCCGAGCAACTAGCATTCAAAATGAGATTACATTTTTTATAGATCTCTAGTTTGCTTTCTAATACCTCGTACATTTGCCACTCATGTCACCACATTGGAAAGTGCCACCAAAATGGTTATGCTGCAGTATTCCTTTTCCGCTTTTGGCGTTTTCGGGACGATGAACGAGGGTGACGTATCTAGAATATAAAAAACGACATATAGCCTCATAGTCGTCGTTTTGGAGGGCTGGGCGTTCGTTTTTGGTAACGAGAACGCCTAACCCAGACGGTCCTGCGCTATGCTAGTTTTGTAGAAAACATTGTATGAACATTGTTCACTTCCTGATTTCCGTTTACAGAAAAAACTATCAGGGCTTTAGTGATAATAAGAAGTTGGATATATGTTGACAAAAAAAACTCTCGGAAACGTTCATAACCGAAATCGAATAGCTTCCACAACAAACTGACTCAAACAAGAGTTATACTTTTTAACATTTGAATATTACACTACCGCGGAAACGTTGCTTGATGAAACTGTAATGTCGCCGTTGATAAATTAGGATTAGGAAAAGTTTACGATATATTATGTTGCCTTAGCACGTCTATGTGTTGTGCAAGGAGCGAAGAGCAACCCATTTAGTTCGAGTGCGTGCCTGCCAGGCCAGACGGAACGTAAAACGCTGATTTTATTTTATATGTTTTGTTGCAGGACTTGTTGTTTGTTCCTCTTCGGCAGGCTATTATACCAAGGATTAAAATGAAAACAAAAGCCCTTTCTTGGAAAAACTTTCTATAGCTCGATATTTCTTACAGTATTTAATGCTTTTACTTGTGAATGATTCTGTTTCCATTTGAAATATCTGTGTACTACATAATTTGCTGCAACAGCTCTGTACCGCACGAGTATCATGTAAAAAATCTATAAAACGTCAAAAAAAAACCTACAAGATGTCATCTTGCAAACTAGGTAGTTTTTAGGGTGCAAACAGTCGTTCCATGTTTGCTCACTAGGATCGTTGTGAACGTCCATCTATAGAGGAAGCACTCAAATAAACTACAGGTGTTATTGGTTGCATGAGTTTTATGAGGCCGAGTGGTCCTAGTCTGTAGTTTTTATCTATGAAAAGAAAGTTGTTTGAATAGCAAGATCGCATCTGGATGATTATGTGTATTGGTCTGCATGTGCATAAAATCAGTGATATTTGCTGTATGAGAAAATCATTACTGAATATGCTGCCAATCAAGTATATCTATTGGCTGTGCCCGACGGGTTATTTTTATGTTGTGCTTTCTGAAGAGAGGTTATGTTCAAAGCTATAAATTACGAAAAACTGAAAAGAATTACGGTAAATCATCACCGCGCCGACGTTGTGTGTAATTACTGGTAGCATGTATATGGCTTGTAATTCGACAGTGTATACTGTGAATATAATTATTTCTTATCTCTCTCATGTTTGAAATTCAGCAAATTTGTATAGGTAATTTCCAGAATGGATAAGAAAAAGTGGCTACGCAACTAATTTCTAGCTTTGAATCTCAATTAAGAGTATTTGAAACAAGAACCCAATGTAATTATCATCAACACATACCACTTACAGCTTAGACCTCCAGTAATGCCATCTCAGAAGCAGATGTTACATCACATTAGAACCAAAGATTGATAACAAGCCTCATGACGTTTAGGCAACACGTACAAGTAAGTGCTAAGCTAACATCTTGTAGAAAAACCTACATAATGTCAAAAAAAATCTGCATAATGTCACTTTTCAAGATACGTGATGTGATACCTGTGCCGATAGTTAGGTATCTGAAAAATAATATCAAAAATAATTTGTTTGGTTATCTGTCAAAGCCTTCAGAAAAACAGAAGAAAACAAGGCTCGGAAAATTCTGACTTTGTTTCTGCCTTTTCATCAAAATTACTTCATTGTTTGTGGATTTTGTAACGAAAAATCTGAGAGACGGACTGACAGATATAATAACGGAAACACGACATAGGCTTGCGTAGTGTAATGACCAAAAGACGAGTCATGTATGGAAGGTTGTAAGTATTTTAACATTCGTAGAAACTATAGTATTAGCTCTAAAAAAATATTATTGTGAATCAATCATAAAATAATTGACAGCCGGTAGATTTCAAAACCAGTAACTTTATTCCGGGGTGCATTATTGACGGCATCTTTTATTTTTACCTGTGCCACACATACAATCTGAGTATGCACAATATTTTCAGCAGCTGTTATTAAGTATATTCTCAAATTATACCACCCGAAATTGTTCACAATAAAAAGAGTTTCGGTTTGTGCTTGACCATGAAATATACATACATATTATATAACACAACATGTAAGGAAAAACTGTTTCGTGCCATCAGCGAAGTCTACTTTCAACACCTCATACTGCCAGTATCGAAAAAACAGTAGATCTTTGTTGTGCTATATTTTCTTTCTAGACAGTACAACTATTCTTAAGAAAATTAAAAAAAAATGACGAGAGTTTTCCGTTCCGTCGATTTTGAAATGATTTATGACCTAAAACAGCACTTAACCTCAATTTTTTGTCCTCTTCAAAATATATTTTTCAATTCAACCGTTTATTTACATTTTTTGTAATATTCATTACTTATGAAGCTCGATAAATGACTCAGAAAACTTATTTATCAATCAGACGGCTCAAAAATCCCGCATACGAGCTTTTACGCATGGCCTAATTCGAGCTCTAAGAGAATTGGCATATCTCATAAACGAACGTAGATATGAAAATATCGTAGAAACAACTTTTGACGCTTATTTATTGAGTTACAAATTTGTCTTAACAACTATTTCCTATATCATATTTACAGGACCGTAACAAAAAAATGACTGAACATTTTTCAGTTCCTACGAGGGACGTCTTAAGTTTTGCATGTGGAAATAAAACAACACGGTAGGTAGCTTTAAATGATTTTATTGTTTTTCGAAGTATTCTCCACGAAGATTAAAGCACATCTGCATGCGCTCGAACCAATTTTTGGAGCACTTATTCCACTCGTTTGCTAGCAGATCCAAAACGGCATTTTCGAATGTGTCAATTGCTTTTTCTGATGACTGGAACCTTTGACCACGCGGTCTGTTTTTAATTTTTGGGAAAGTAAAGAAATCATTAGGACTTAGATCGGGACTATATGGAAGATGGTCCAAAAATTCCACGTTTTCTTCCGTTAAATACTGCCTTGTTTTTTGGGCTGTGTGCGAGCTTGCATTGTCTTGGTGGAGGATGATTCTTCTTTCGGGGTTGATTTTTCGAAGCTCGGTGATGACTTTTGGCAAACAAATGGTGTTATACCAATCCGCAGTAACAGTTATTTGCTTATTAAGAGGAATTGTTACAATATGACCCGCTTTTGACACAAATGTCGCGACCATCTTTTTCGAAACACTTCGAGAATGGATGACTTTTGTTGGCTTTTCTTCACCTTGGAACACCCAAACAGCCGACTGTCGTTTATTTTCTGGTTCATAACACTAAATCCACGATTCATCACCACTAACAATGCTGTACACATTTTTTGAGTTTCCGGAATTGAAACGGTCAAGCGTTTTTTGACACCAGTTAACCCTGGCTGCTTTCTGCTCTTCAGTCAACAGGTGGGGTATCCAACGAGAAACTAATTTTCTTACTCCTAATTCTTCTTGTAATTTTTTTTGAATTGAGGTCTTTGAGATCCTCAAGGACTCCTCAATCTTGCGATATGTCACATGTCTATCTTCAATGATGAGTTTGCGCACAGTATCGACGTTTTCCTGGGTGACTGCCGTTTTGGTGCACCCACCCTGGAATCGCCGCTAAGACTCACCCGTCCACGTTTGAATTCTCCATACCAACGGGAAATTGTCGACTGATGTGGTGCTTCGTTGCCGAAAACAGACAGTAACTCAGCAAAGCATTCTTGTTGCGATAATTGTATCTGAAAGTTGTAATAAATTATGGTGCGAAAATGTTCTCGGTTGAGTTCCATTTTTCTAATGACTTGGTGACACTTAAAAATTCACTGTAGTGAGAACAATTGTTGTGAAACTTTGAATTTATGTTTACTAAAGAGTGAGGTTAAGATTCAGTACTGACATTCGATCCGCGCGGCCTACTATGTTTCTATATGCAAAACTTGAAAGACATCCCTCGTATATACCGTAGGGCCCGGAACTTTTCGTCAAGCTAACAATAAATACTTCAATAACCTGAATCCAAATTTTCATTCATTATAGAATTTTCGTCAAAAGTGCTCATTTACTGCGCTATTTGTTCGTTCATTCTAAGCCCTCCAACGTGTTAAAATCATGTATTCAAATCACATTTATTTTTGGTTCAGGTGAGTAAATTATCTATTTTAAAATGCAGCATATAATATTTTAAGAACCTTCATGAAAAATTGCCGGTTTTACAATAATATTTGAATCCTGACATACATATACTCGCATGTATTGGCAGCGGTCAAAAACTATAACTATATTATGGTGCACCTTTGGGAAACTTTTTCAGAAATTCAGAATGCATGTATAGGTAAAAGTATCTCGAAACTAGTTGTATATGAATGCATGAGTCAATCTACTTAACGATATTTCTCTCTGTTACAACGCCCCTGAAAATCATTTTCTTATCTAGGGAAATGTGTATGTACCAACTTAAATCTATTCATAATACCCAAATGCTCGTGTTAATTCTGCCTGACTTCCCCTTTCTTCTCGTCCATCTCGGTCCTCCCAGTACCTCACTGCTGGCCTGGAGCGTCGATGAAACGTTCTGAAGAGTCAGAAAACGAAGTCTGAGCGACTCTTAATTTTTTTCTCCAGTAACTACACGTCCACTGGATCGAATTGCAAAAACTGACATCCTTGACATACTAGTAACCGTTTGTGAAAATTTCATCAAAATCCGAGCGGTACTTTCCAAGTCCAAGTGGACAGACAGACCGACAGACTGGGCGACGAAAATATGACATGGTTTTTCGTAGTGCAGACGTTTTCCAAAAATGTATCTTATTTTAGATTTTTTTGGTAATACAATACTTCCTCACCACTGGCGTGGGAAGGAAAATAAACAAACTGATGCGTTTGCTAACTGGTTACATAAACAGCTCTTGAATTATCTAGAGGTTCTAAAGAAGTCAACTGCTGCGTGATGAAGGTATAATGAATATTCTTCCACAAAAAGATAGGCGCTATGGACGAATTAAATCTAATTATCCCATTTCATAATCAAAAGAAATTTCCAAGACGTAATATTATAAAACGTCTCATTTTTGCCGTCTGTTAGACGCTGCAATTAAACGTCCCCCCGGAAAAAATAATTGAATCCCAGCTGTCATCCAATCGGATTTCCAATTTAATTAATGAGCATCACTCTTATTTATAGAATTTCACGCAGCTAGCTAACTATAACTATTTATACTAATTTATTCATTTATTTGTCTTTTTATCCTCTACTCAACAGCAAAAGCCGCTTACAGACTAGGACATAGTCCTAACTTCAGAAATACACAATTATTTCAAATTAGAAACAAAAGTAGTTAGTCACAGGGTTCATCGCAACACTGCCTTGTCAATAGTTGAAAATAAAGATACCGAACGCAGAACTCTACTAGCGTTTCGGCTGCCCTTTTACAGTACAATTAAGAAGACGAAAAAAAGCGTATTTCTTCAGAATATTTTTTAGGGTAAACGCCAGGACAAATCACCCTAATTCGCATTTTCTAGTAATCATTTGCTTTAAATATCGTGATTCTTAAGAAGTGTTGATAATGAAATAAAAAGCTGAGGACGGCTGGTCAGAAACATATCCGACTGACGTGCTGGTAACACCTTAAAAGTAAGACAATTTCTCACGAACATCCTCGGAAACTGAGAGATACAGGAGATACTATATCTGTTAAATAAGGGCAAAAGTTGCGCATTTACTTAGCTAAGAAAATGGCATATGGAAAGTTGTGCAGTTCCGAATACTTCTAGAGGTAAACCGAATTTTCTCAAATCATTTTTAATTTTTCCTGGCTTCATTTGGGATAGTAATTCAAAATGAACAATACGATTGCCATTATTTCTCCTCTACAAGATTGCATAAATACCTTGTCCGGTTCTCGAGATATATTTGTTGCTCTCTACATTTTTGTAGTTTTTTGCTGGACAAAAAAATTTGTAATGGCCGATCCATTGTGCAATTCCTGTAATACGGCTATCACTGCTCGTTCCAAAAGTGTTAAGTGTGATGGGTCTTTTGAAAACGTTTTTCAAATTGTCTGATAAATATGAAATTAAAGATATATCCAGCGTTCATCCTAGAGTGCGTATCACAGGCATGACTTGTAAACTGTCTGAAGGTGATGTTATCAAGTCCATTCGTGCACAGAATAAGGAAGCGTTTACTGAACATTCTCAATGTAAGGTGGTTGAAATCAAGCCCATCAAAAAACGAAATGACATTTATCAAGTTGTTATTAATCTTGATATGGATACATACAATAAGATTTTGTCTGTGTGTGGCGGTAAGTTATTCGTGGGGTATGATGTGTGTGATGTATTTGATGCTATCGATATTAAAAGATGTTTTAACTGTAGCGCATTATTCAAAAGAATGTAAAAGTGAGAAGTTTCATTGTCCGCGGTGTAGTAAAAATCATTTAGTCAAAAATTGTAAAGCAACTTCGCTGAAATGTATAAACTGCGTTAAAAGTAATAATGAAAGGAATACTGAATTTGATGTGACGCATGCTGCTTGGGATCCTAGGTGTCCTTACTATTTACAGCGAATTGAAGAGTTTAAATCCAGGTTGATTTTTTCCTGATTGCGAACTTCCCGGTGAATTATATAGCAATGAATATCATAACTCTCGCACAGCACACACCTCATGTCCTGTTAAAGAAACTCTTTCTTTATATTATCAGAACGTTCGGGGATTAAACTCTAAATGTCAAGATTTCCTTCTCAATGTAACAATATCTGATTATGACATCATTTGCTGTACTGAAACTTGGCTGCAATCAGGGGTACTCAATGCAGAGCCATTTATATCTGATAGGGACTTAGTTAACCTAGAATGTACAAGAGGAGGTGGGGCTCTAATTGCCACGAAAGACTGGTTGAATTCGTCTGAAATTGATACAACTGCTGTTAAGAGTGATATCCCCTGTATAGACCTGGTAGGCGTTCAGTCTACCATTCAATATAAGACCACATACATATTTATAGTCTACATATCACCCAATACTAGCATTGCATGTTATGAGCGGTTATTTGACCATCAAGAATCTTTGACATACCTCTCTGGTAATGATGTTTATTTTCTTGGGGATTTCAACATTCCAGATTTTTGTATACAGAATATCTCACCATCACGCAAATTGAATGTAGTTGACTCCTTTACAGCATATTTTGACTTCTTACAATACAATTAAATTCTTAATATTAACAATAGATTGCTTGACCTAGTGTTCTCCAACAAATCATGCTTGGTGACTAGAGCATACGATGACCTATTGCCCGAAGACTCACATCATCCTCCACTTTGTATTACATTACACAGAAGCTCTCGTAGCAAAACCTGGTCACAATCAAATGATGTTACCTTCAATTTTCGCAAAGCTGATTTTGTTACACTGTATGAACAATTGACACTTATGGACTGGTCATTTCTTGAGGATATTGCGGATGTCAATATTCCTTGCACTCTATTCTACAATAACCTAATAAATATTTTCAACATGTGTATTCCAAAAACTAAGCGTACGCCTGGCAAATTTCCACCCTGGTACACTCGCGCAATCATCAAGGATATTGAACAAAAGAATTCACTACATAAATTATACAAAAAACATCAAGAAGTGAGTGTCTATGATACATTTAAAGAATTAAGATCCAAAATTAAAAGAGACGTTAGTCATGAGTATAAAAAGTACATAGAGCAAACTGAAAATTGCATAAAAAAATATCCAAATCAGTTTTGGTCCTTCATCAAAAGTAAAAGGCACAGTGGCCTTTCACCTTCTGAATTCACTCACAATGATTGTGTTTTCAATAACCCTGTTGATATAGCAAATGCCTTCGCTAATTTTTTTCCAGTCTGTGTATTCTACCCCCAATGTAGCAGCTAGGCCAGATGATGATATTATTGCTACAAACAATATTGTGTTGAATAGCTACACAGAGAATGAGGTTCTTATGGCGTTAAAGAAAATGAAAAACAAGTTCACTAGTGGACCTGATGGTATACCTGCATTCTTAATCCATGAT